TCTGTGTAGCCCTGGCTGTCCTGGAACTCACTCTGTAGACCAGGCTGTCCTCGAACTCAGAAATCCGCCTGCCTCTGCCTCCCAAGTGCTGGGATTAAAGGCGTGCGCCACCACCGCCCGGCTTGTTCTGACATTTTACCATCACTTGCTTTTCATTCCAAGTTCAAGGACTCAGCTTCAATACAGCCCACAACGCACTTCCACAAATGAGCTCCACCCACAACTCCTCTGCAACCTGGACCTGCCTGTCTGTCTTTTGTCTGCTGCCTCTGGCAGCCAGTCCTCATACACTTGAACCAGATTTTCCTCAAGCAATCCCAGATAAATCCACTGTACTAGGAGAGAACCCTAACAGTTTCTAGTTTATAAATTAGCTTATTTCATTTTGTTTGAGATACAGTCTCACTATATAGGCCTGGTCAGCTTATAACTAGCTATGGAGGCCAAGTTAGCCTAAGACTTCACAGAGATCTGTCTACCTCCACCTGCCAATGCTAGATTTATGGCATATGCCACCATGCCCAGCTTATTACATATTTTAAGACTGATACTGAAACTGTGTCTCAAAAGAACATCTATAGCATTTTGCTAATACCTACAAATAAGACGGTATTTATCATACTTACCAAATATATATACGACCTCCTAAGAAACACATTTCTCAAGTTAATAGTAAGTATTAAAACACTTTTCATAGTCTAAAAATTCTTCTTACCTGCCTGTTGGAAAACCAGAATTTCCGTTCATGGTAAGCCGACAAATAGAAAACATGCATCATACCACTAATAACGGCCGCGAGACAGCCAATGACAATCTTTGCAAAACGTTGAAATGATACATCTGAAAAAGAATATTAAAGATAATCAAACTCCCACAGAGGTCCATCCTACAGGACAGCTCAGCAGGGTGCTTCCTAGTTGAGAGCTCAGTTGACTGAATGCTGCCTGGCATATGTGAGGTTCTGGAGTAGTCCCCACTACAAGCCAAGGAAAGAGGAGGAGGCAGAGAGAAGGATGGATGGATGGTTGGTTGTTAGGGTCATCAGAAACAAAAACCTAGGAAACTATCAGCACATGAAGTCCAAAACAACATGGTAACAAAAGTAAAAAGACATAAGGTGAAGACGAAGACCGTATGAATAAAGTACAGGCTTCATTTAAGGGGAATGCCTCAATATTTGTTACTTGTAACAAATGTACCACACTAATGTAAAATGCCAACAAGAGAAAAGTGGTCTAGAGACCTAGAAGAAGGTTTAGTGTGAAAAAGTACTAGCCACCAATCATGATGACCTGAGTTCAATCCTTTGGACCAATATGGTCAAAGGGGAGAACTAATTCCCAAAAGTTGTCTCTGATCTTCTATGCGATCTCTCTCTCTCCTTCCTCAGCCTCCTCACGAAAGATTTCATAGGCCAGGGTAAGGCGGTACCTTGTGCTCAGCAGGATTTCTGAACTGCTGTGGAACTGTGATGTGTCTCCAGTTCTTCCTTTCAAAAAGAAGTATTGACAACATCACACTATGTAACAGTGTATATTGAGTGACATATACAGAAAAGCAAAGCAGGTCCACAGTACAGGACTGCTGACAAGATAGGCTCTGGGCTGGCATCTGGAAACTTGAATTTCAAGGGAGTTTCTACCATTCTTTGACAGGGCGGTTTCTATCATTCTTTGACAGGGTGGTTTACTGTGCCTACCTTATTTGTACAATGTGGTTTATGCTTCTTTCCAGGGAGTCTAAAATTTGGTCATATAATCATATGATAAGCAAAAAGTATCTACAAGGCCAACTTACTGTTTTAAAAAAATGAGTTTTGTCTCTAATAAGTTTCACTCATTGACACAACTATAAATGCCACAATTTGAGGTCAAAGAGATAAAGAATATCTGTATGACTCCACTGGGAGAAGAGTTTTGGAAGTGTGCATTCAATAATGTACACACTTTTCTCAAAAGACCTTTGCTCTATGCTGACTCTAAGCTGCTCACTAAGGCAAATCACAGCTTTAAATACAATGATATTCTAAGATCTTGAGTCCTTGAAGGAAGCACTGTTTTTGAGGACTGTGACATGTTGCAGATAACTTTTATTTTTAGTTCATAGGTCTTAAGACCAGAATGAGTCCTAGCTGGCCCTGATGTAGAAAAGATTTAAAACTCATGCTATGACAAAATAAGATTGGAAGTCTCCCTTAGTGCAGGGAAGGGGATGTGTTGTCTGAGAAAGACGGGGGGGGGGGGGCGCGCAGAGTAAATATTTATGAGGAAAAGATTAACTCATTGATAGTACAAGCCATATAGTCAAAGTCCCCCAAAATCCCCAATGTGATAAAATACATAAATGAATAAAAACAGAAGAGTATGTATTTCTACCCATAACCATGACTTCTAAGAGTTTCCTTGTAGTAACAGTGTGCTTCTGTAAGCCACTGTCTGGACTGACCAGCACTTGCCTGAACCAAGACAGTGGGGCAGTCCAGCAGAGCCTTTAAGAGGCCTTCCTTCTCTTTTCCTCTGTGCCAAGAAAAACTTGTCCCAAACAGGGGCTATTCTTTCCTGACACATGAAGTCAAGCCAGCCAACCCATGACTGAAACATATAACATATCAGAAATAAATGTCTGTCATTAACATGGGCCATAATTAAGATACAAATGTTTATTGTAAAGTGATACAGTTCAGGGGTTGTTCTATAGCAAAAATCAATTGTGTTAACTATAAATTTAATCTCAACTATTTCTGTGTAATACGGGAACATGCTCAGTGGCAGAGTGCTTGTCCGGCTCATATGTACAAGCCCTAGGTTTAGTTCTCAACACCTCAAAACACAAAAAGCAAAAGAAATCATTTCTGAAAGTTCGCACATTCAAATGATGAAAACATACTTTTCCAGCATGATTATCTGTGTGGCACTACACCAGACCCATCTGACTTACATTTTGGAGCTCTTTCAGGAGCTGGGGTTCTGCGGATCTTCTCTCCTTTGGCTTCCTGACTTCCTGAAGTTCTTTGCTTTTTCCTCTGGCGGGCTTCTACAGATGATCCTTAAAACATTGAAGACATTATTGCAATGTGTTCATCAATCTTCAGGATCTCAGGTGGATCAACTTTTGTTAGGTTACCTACATGGCCAGATCCCAGTAGAAAGTCCCAAGTCCTATCTCTAATGAGCCTCCCTGGTCAAAAAAAAAAAAAAAACCCACAAAGGGCACAATGCTGATATTGAAGGAATCAAATAAAAACATCTATGACAAAGAGAAAAGTTTTGGGATCATGTGACTAAAGCAAGTCACACTGAAACCCATTAGTGCCAGGAGTATCTGAAGTATCATACTATCTGTGCTTCTTCCTCAAAACTGTCTTCAGAATGTGATCAAAAATAACTAACATGTATTCCCTACCACTACCACAGCAACTCATGCTTTAGAGTCCAGTTGATAAAAGCTTACAAATTTTTCTCCCCAAGCGATGCTATTTTTAAATGTCCCAAAATAAGTTAATTTTTTTCTCAAAAGTTTTAAGGGATATTATTGATCTTACTATGTTAGTTACCTGAGATTATGAAATCCATCATTTGCAAGCTAACAATTTTTGTTCAAAATACAATAGATTCATCATGAAATTATGCTCTTTTTTTCTTTTTAAAGGTAGGTTCTTAAGTAGCCTTAAACACTTGATCCTCTTGCCTCAGCCTTCTAAATGCTGAGGATTACAGGCACACAACATTTTTCTTTCCAGGACTTGGGACTAAACAAAGGGTCCTGAACTTACTAGGAAAATGCCTGAGTGCTAGGCCTAGCCTCTTCTTCTCCACAGCGGGGGTTGGGGATGTGTATGTCTGGAAGCTCTGCAGACTCCCACTGTTGTGAGACCACTGTGTATTCTGAAAAGTGTAGGTGTTAGCTTTCTGTTCTATCATATCATGGGAAGCACTTGGAAAAAATGCTGTAATTCCAAACTGCTTACCTTTTCTGTCTCTAATTTTTAAAAAATGTAATACAGAAGCTACTTCGAAACTAGTAAGTTAAATTCCAAATGAGAAAATAAGAGACTCCAAATTAGACAGAAATTTGAGATAGAGAACATAACTTTTTCCCTCGATAAAATTACCTCATGAGTAACTACCATGGAAGATCAGAGTACCCTGTCAGGTTAACAATGTGACCCAGGCTTTGATTTCCCTTCTTTTAAGCTATAAAATGTGAGACAAAAGAAAAGAATCAGCAGCAAAGAGAATGGGTAGTCTGATCAGACAGACTGCTCTTTAGCATTACTGTGAAAACTGAATAAAACAAATATGCTGTGAAACTGTTTCCAAGCAAGCACATACATGCTTACTAAAATGTCTTTAAATAGCAGCATAGAAAGAAAGAAGTGACTTAGTAGATGGTCTCATGTCTAATGCGCACCCACCTTTACAGCACCCTACTCCTAACCACTCTCACTGCCCACGATGCACTCCTCACCGGCACCCCTCAGCCAGGAAACTTCACTTTGCACCCCAGACCACAGGCCCAATGGGTAAGAACAACTCCCATATGCAAGGAACACTGCAGAGGAGGGGGTGGAAAGGATGGAAGATAAAGAAAGGATAAAGGAGTTTGCTGTGAGCCTGAGTCTCCTAGGAAAGTCAGGAGCTACAGCCATGAAGTCTCACCAACATGACTGCCTAAACAAGAGGCAAACAAGAGCACTGGACATGCCAGAGTAGACAAGGAAGCAGGAGGTGGCGGTGCACACCTTTAACCCCAGAACTCCGGAGGGAGGCAGAGGCAGGCAGGTCTCTGAGTTTCAAGCCAGCCTGGTCTACAGAGTGAGTTCCAAGACAGCCAGGGCTACACAGAGAAACCCTGTCTCATGACAAAAAAAAAAAAAAAAAAAAAGCCAGAAAAATCTCATGAGGCCTCAACCCTATATGAAAAACTAAAGACAACTAAGGAATGCTGAGAGTTGGAGAAATAGTCTACCTCAGGGAAGAGCACACCATTGGTTATCCAATTCCAAATGTTCAACCCTGAAAATACACATACAAGCCCCATTATACCTACTGAACAGTATATATTTAGGACTACGTGTGTATTCATATACATATGTGCATGCAACAACTACTAATAAAAAGGAGGCCATGAACTTGAAAGAGAACAAAAAGGGGTCAGGTTTAGAGCAAGAACAGAGAAGGGGGGATAATGTAATCGTATTACCATCTTAAATATAAAAGAAAAATATTTTAAAAACAAATAAGAAAAAAATCATTCATTTTTTAGCAACAAAAAAAGTACAACATGAGCTGGGTCTAGTGGCTCACTGCTACAATCCCAGCACTTGAGGCAGACAGATCCCTGTGAGCTCAAGGCCTACAAAGCCAGTTCCAGGCTAGCCAGAGCTACACAGTCAGACCTGACAAAGACAACATGTATTTTAGCCTATTTATCTACTTTGTCAGTAAAACCAAGTTTTCACCTGGCGCTAAAAACCAGAAGCTAAATGAGTACAAATTTCTCACCACCTTTCTATCACTGTTCATGTAACTTCACAACTGAAAAACAAAATTAATGCTACGGTGATGATATAGTCAGGCAGCAGAATTTGATCAAAGGGCGACATACCCAAGGATGATATAGTCAGGCAGCAGAGCTTGATCTAACACCTACCAAAGGGTGGCATTCCCAAGGTGGAAACAACAAGGCTGAAAGTGATCTCTGGAATGAGTTCAAGTTCTCTTTTCCACAGGTTACATTTTTAGCATTATAAAGAAAAAGCCAGCCTAGCGGGGTGCATGCCTTTAATTCCAGCAGAGGCCAGCCTGGTCTATAGGGTCACTTCCAGGACAGCACGGGCTGCACAGAGAAACCCTGTCTCAAAAAACTAAAAGAAAAAAAAAAGAGAGAGAGAGAGAGAAAAGAAAAAGCCAAACTAAATGATGACTACATATCCACAAGAATAATCTGCTACTTCAATCTCTAGTCCCGTCATGGGCACATGAACCAACAGAGCTACAAACAGGCTTCTAGAAGTTCATCTAGAATAGAGAGGATCCAAAAGAAACACTAACACTGTCCTCCTCAAAGCCTATGCGTGGTTCCTTTCTTTGCTCTGTGTGTTTCAGGAAGTGTCAATGTAAGTACCAGGTGTACTGCACAGGAGAGGCTTCTGGAAGAACATTTACTTCCAGGGACTGCTGGACAACAAAGAGGCTCCAAGTACCTGTGAATAAGCCAAAGCTATAAACTGTACCTGACCTGAACTCAAACAAAAATATAGACTGACCTAATTCTAACACTATAAATACAGGATATGTAAACAGAAGGGATTCAGGTGAATATCTGACACAGGACATGTCTGTTGTAAATATTACCATCACAAACATCATTACAATAAATATTTATTTATTCTTTGCTATTATGACCCAGCACCCAAAAGAGTGGAGACTTAGCCAAGGAATTAAACATTTGTTCTAGTAAAACTCTCACTCAGTAATTGTCCCAAATAAAATACATCTGGTTTTGGATTACCTGTAATTCTATAAGCAAAAATCACTTATCAGTTTACAGTCAACTATTTTTACAAAATGATAGTCTTTTTAAAAGGTCCACATCATAGTTATTAAGAATAATAATTACATCCTAAATGCAATTTCTGCATATTTATAATATCAAGTTTTAGTGGCACTGTATTTTTCCTGTGTTAAGTATTAATGTGCTCACAAGGACAAACTGGTTTATCAACCTACCCACACAGAATTGTAACTAATCACAAAAATAAAATTAAAAAAAAATCTTTTTCAAGTGATAACACATTGCAAACACAGGTATAACTAAGGAAACAAGTGAAATTACATTTTTCTTTACCAACTACCTGTTTCTGAGGCTGTTTTTTGGTAGTATCTTAAATGTGGATGATATTTAACCTGGAGAGCTGCAGGAAGAGGAGGAATAACTGAATCGTAACCTCAGGGACAGTACATCTAGTCCCAGTCAGCATGAACTTCTAATAGTCTAATAATTTTCTTTTGAAAAATGGCTTTCCATTGAATTCTTCAAACTCCCTTCTTGTCTCCTTGGTTCTACCGCTTAAATCTAAACCAGATAACTAATGGTCGGATTCACAACTCCACTCCGTAAGATAAAAACTGTTTTCCAGCAGAATGCAACATCTAACTTCTCAGCCAGGCGAATGAAGTCCAAGAGCTCAATAGTGCATACACATACTATGAAGTTACTGTGCCACAAATACTTTTTTACTCAATGTATCATACACTGCTAAGTTTCTTACCGCTCCCTATCTTTTGCTCACTGTCCGCATCCTCTCTTGATCAATATTGCTAGCTAAATGATTAATTCCCTTGACACTGACCCAGAGGAGCATGCAGAGCTCTCTCCAGTCCATCAGTTTTAACCCTAAAAGTCCTTTAGGCCTCCTCCTCCTCTAAGACCACTTACATGCCCCTGCCCTTTGGCATTCGTTATCCCTTACAGCACAAGTGAACTCCGTCAGGTTCTGCGCGCCCATCCCAGATCCCTGCCTCAGTTTCCCGCGAGGGGTGCGATCCCTCCCAGTCTGCACCCAAAGCTTCCAGCATGCACCAGAACCCACCCAACCTCCCAACCTCATCCCGCTTTCCATTGCGGAGCAACTCCGAACCCGCAGCCCCGCCACCCAACAACAGCTTCCTCTCCGAGACTCCTGACTTTAAGCTCCACTTTTGCGTCCTATTTCGGGAGACAAAACTTTGGGCCATTTTCTCGGCTCGCGCCAGGTTTCTCTGCAAACTCGGGGGCGCGCGCCCCCGCCCGCCCTGCTCCCCGAGGCCCGCAGCCAGGCCCGGCCCCCTCTCCCGAGCCCGCCGCGGCAGTTGGCGCGCTGCACGCCGGAGCCTTAACCTTCTTCCTTTGCCATCGTCTCCGCGGGGACCCGGGTGGCCCTCCTGCTCCCGAGCAGCCTGAAGTCTCCCAAACCTCCGAGTATCTAAACCCCGCGGCCGCCCCGGCCAGCTCCCGGCTGCCGCGCCCCCACTTCCTGACCCGCCCCCCTCTGGTGTCTCCGCCAACTGCGTCCCCCCAAGGCGCTTCAGGAACCAGATTGCAGGGAGAGGAGGCCAGCCGGAGCGTTTCGCCAGAGCGCCTCAGCCTTACCCACGATGTCCACGGGTTGGCAATGCTCCTGGGAGCAGCGAGTGCCCGCTGCCACCCTCGCTCCTTCCTTTGCTGGCTCACAGGAAAGCCGGAGCCAGAGCAAGCTTTTCGTGACGCTGGGATCCGGCTCAGAAAGTCACAGACTGTTGCCCAGATCCAGTCACCATGTCCAGCCCAGTTTACAAACAGAAAACTGAGTTTCTAGTGCAGAGCAACTGGAATCCTGGACCCGGTTTGCTGTCAGTCCCTGCGTGTTCTAAACGGCGAATTTCAAAGCCAAGCAAAACGTTCTAGGCAGATCCTTTGGATTAGTAGATTTTTGTTTGCTTGTTTTTGAGACTGGATCTCTCTATATAGTCCAGGCTTGCCTCAGGCTCCCTACTGCTGCAATGACCAGAGTGATCCACAGCTTGATTTAGTAGACACTTGGCTGCTACAAAAAAGAAGTTTGTACCAGGTTACTTCCGAGGTAGAAGGTTCATTATTTCAAGACCAACCTCAGCTACATAGCTACTTAAGCAAGTTAAATTATCAAATAAAAAAGGAAACACTAGAAAGCAGCGTGTCAGTCACCAAAATTGCCTTAAACAAAATGTTTGCTCATGTCAATATTCTGAAAGAAAGCACAGTAGTACTTTATAGTCTGCTACGAAAGAATGTATGTAGATTATTCCATAACAATAGAATGTGGTTTCAGTTTGTTGTACAGTGCATGTCTCAGTACTGCGGACAGTTTGGCACGTCTTCAGTTGGCCGAACTGCACGAGTGAATAACTGCATCAAAGAAAGGAGAGGAATGAGCTCCTTTTTTTTTCTTTCTTATGTAGGCCTCCTATGGTAATTCATAGAAACTCCTAATTATTTTTCTATAATGCCTGGTTTCTGGATCTGTTCTGATTCTGTGGGATCCTGATCTAGAGATGTGGGGGGTCTAACGAGACCTGACACTCCTACATGGGGGGGGGGGGGAAGAGGATGTCTCATGGTCCACTGGTTGTTTCTGGTTAATTGGGAATTCAGCCAGAGCCACCAGTTCTTTCTCTGCCTTGCCTTAGACGCAGAGTATACCCTGGTGATACTAGAGACTGAGAAAATTAGAGCAGCCCAGCACCTGAGCTCCCATTGGCAGGGTTTCAACACCTAGGATGCACAACAGAGCCAAGGAAGCTTAAGGATGTTCCACAACACTGGATCCATGTCTAGGGTTTGGAGAGGCCCAGCATAGGATGTCTGGCATACTAGAAGCTGAGACAGAACTCAGAAAGAACCAGCTTCACTAAATTGAGGAAAACAGGCATCTAGAAGGCCTCTGGTGGGTTCTGAAGAATCCACCTGCCTCAATCGTTGACTTAAGAGCCCTCTCACAGTAAGAACAAATTAGGTTCGTTCCTCTTTATGATTAAACTTGTTTTTCAAGGATCGGGCTATGCTACACATGAAACTTGTGACCTTAACTACAAATGGTTCTGTACTGTTTGTTCCAGGAATGATAATCATGTCTTTGTTTCAAAAAGATTTTTTTATAACCATCTTGCAACCTTACCTTTGTTTCATAAGGGTTGTCATGGCTACCTTGTTATAACTACCGGTTTTATGCTCAGCTGGCAACCAGGTCTTTGTTTCAGGATGCCCTTGGCAAGAACTTGCTATGATGTTCTGTTCCTGTAATCCCACCTATTTTGCCTGCTAAATCTCCCATTTGAAAAACTCCTACTGCTGAACTATAAAAGTCTCCTCTTCCTCATAGGCAATGCTGACCTCTTGAACCACACCTGAGTTAGAGGCCTTTGTACATGAATTTAAAAATCTTCCTTTAACTAGTTGCTTGTGAGGGCTGGAGAGATGACTCTGGAGTTAAGAGCTCTGGCTGCTCTTCCAGAGGACTCACGTTCAATTCCCAGCAACCACATGGCAGCTTCCAATTGTCTGTAACTCCAGTTCCAGGGCATCCAACCCCTCACACAAAAACATGCAGTCAAATCACCAGTGTGCATAAAAATAATTATTTGCTTGCTCTAATTCATTTGACCACGATGACTTGGGTCTGTGGTCTTTCTCCTCCCATCTTTGGGAGTAACATACGCTCAAAGGTCTTGGGTTTCTTCCCCAGCAAATGCTAGACAAAGTTGTTGATAACAGAATCATCGACTGTGAGCAAGGCTTAAAAAAACTGCCAGGAACATTGTGCCGAGCATGAAGACTGTTGCTTGATTTGAAAGCTCTTTTGTCTTGGTTGTCATTAGTTCTGACATGTTTCCTTGATTTTTGAGACAGAGACTCGTATACTTTAAACAGATTTGAACGCATGGCACTCCCCTTGTCTCTAGTACCCAAGTGCTGGGTAAGGATAGAGGCATGCACCATTATACCCAGTTTTCTGAACTTTTCTTTTAAAATATGACAGAGGTGAAGTTGAAGAAGTGCCTCAGAAGATTCTGGCTTTCCCTGACACCAAGCACGAAGGCAAAAACCTGTATTCATTAAAGTAAAATAAAAATTAAACATTTTTTATTAAAATATTTTAAAAATGTTTTTAGACTTATTTTATGTATATAAATGTTTTGCATGCATGTGTGTCCTTGGTGCCTAAGGCAGACACAAGAGGGTATCAGATCCCCTGGAACCAGTTATGGACAATTGTAAGCCATCATAGGAGTGTGGAGACTTACTCCTGGGGACTCTGCACCAGTGTAAAGTGTTCAAAACTGCTGCACCGTCTCTCCAGCCCCATGTCAAAGTACTTTTTGAGTTGAATATATTAAACATCTTGAAACATACTAAAATACAGATTTTTTTGACTCAAAAATCTTCTAGAAAGAAATTTTTAGCTGGTTATCTAAAACAAAATTTATAAATATTGATACTAGCTGGGTGGTGGTGGTGCATGCCTTTAATCCCAGCACTTGGGAGGCAGAGGCAGGCGGATTTCTGAGTTCAAGGCCAGTCTGGTCTACAGAGTGAGTTCCAGGACAGCCAGGACTACACAGAGAAACTCTGTCTCGAAAAAACCAATAAATAAATAAATAAATAAATAAATAAATAAATAAATAAATAAATGAATATTGATTCTAAAAGATTATTGACACCAAGCAGTCTAGCATTAAAACTTTCTTAGGTGAGACAGGCAGAGTGGTACATACCTGTACTTATAGCACCTAGGAGTTAGAGGCAAGAGGATAAGAAATTCAAGACCAATCGCAGATAAGCCATGAGGTCAAGGCTTCTCTGGGCTGCATGAGGCCCTGTCTCTAAATAAATATTTAGATATTTACAAAGGGGAAAAAAGGCCAGATAGATGGCTCAGTGAGTTAACTTGCTGCTAAAGCTGACTAAGGTAACACTGTCTTGTCCTAACTCTGTCTTATGTCTGCCTAGACCTTCCTCAGCCTTCTACTCCACAGCAGCCTGACCTACCTGCCTTGGCAACACTTTAGAACTGTTCATGACCCTGAACATGGTCCAGATGTATTAACCAAAATAACAGATGTCTGTGAAAGCTAAAATATACATCTAAAATAACAAAGAGGAAGTGTAAACCAAAAATAATTGTCATGCTGTCTGGAAAACACTGTGAAGCTCTGCAAGAAGACAGATTAGTAGACCACCCCAAGCCCTCACTGATGTACCTGCACAAGCACAGGTAATTATGCTTTTGTCTTTAAAAATGAGGACACGTGTCTTTAATTCCAGCACTTGGGCGGCAGAGGCAGAGTTTGAGGTCAGCCTGGTCTACAGAGTCAACTCTACGACAGACAGGGCTATGCAGAGAAACCCTGTCTTGCAACACCAAAACCAAAAATTAAGCAAATAAAAATAAACCAAAAATAAATTAATAGAAACACTGTACACTTGAGCTTGGGAACCAAGAGACACTTAGGCATGAGCCACTCTTGTTTGCTGGCTAATAAAGGCACTCACACTTGAAATTGGCTTAATTAGCATAGTTGTCAATAATAAGCTCGTGTGGATCGTTTCTCTCTCTCTCTCTCTCTCTCTCTCTCTCTCTCTCTCTCTCTCTCTCTCTCTGACTCTCTCTCTCTCTCACACACACACACACACACACACGCACACACACAATAAATGTAATTTTTTACACAAGCTTTTTTTTTTAAAAGATTTATTTATTTTATGTGAGTACATTATCACTGTCCTCAGACACACCAGAAGAGCACATCAGATCACATTAGAGATGGTTGTGAGCCACCATGTGGTTGCTGGGAATAGAACTCAGGACCTATGGAAGAGCAGTCAGTGTTCTTAACTGCTAAGCCATCTCTCCAGCCACCAATAAACATCATTTTTAAATAAAAAACAAACAAAATCACAGGTGAGACATCTAAATATTTGTGAAATTCAATTTTATTAGCATTGTCGGATTAAACATGAACCATGTGGTATTTGGGATATATACTAAAAGTTATTTGTTCATTGCCTAAAGTTTCCATTATCTTTTGTGTGTTTCTGCAGGTTTATGTGGGAGCAGATACATTTTGTGCACATGTGAAGGCCAGAATGTTAGGGTTTCTCATCGGAAACCTAGATTGGAGCCAAGAATGCTGCAGAGATCACACCACACAACAGGCCTTCCACAAGAGCTTTATTGATGGGATGAAGGAGGATGGCCGCCTCTGAGGAGGGGACAAGACAGAGAGGGAGAGACAGAAAGAGACAGAGCGGGCTGTGATGGTACACACACTGTGATGACTTTATAAAGGGTATGCCACAGTGGAAATATGTCACATTTGGCAGCTGGGGATGACATGACTGCTGGTGTTAGTCTCTGAAGGCAGGCTGGAGGCGTACCTGGTGCTAACGTAGAGATTAACCTCAGTGTCATTTTATTGGTGTGTGCATGTGGATTTGCCA